GGATGGATGGATGGATGGATGGATGGATGGATGGATGGATGGATAAAAATGTTGTGTGTAAAAGACGAAGTGGCCCCCATGATCCAGCAACTTGTAGAACCATCTTCAGCAGCAATAACTCAAACTACATGTTATTATTACTATTATGATGATGATGATGATGATTATTATTATTATTATTATTATTATTATTATTGATTTTTTTTAAATTATTATTATTGTATGAAACTTTTGCTGTCAGACAGGTGACCTCATATGTGACTCTTTGGTTTACAGAGGTATTCATGATCAACTCAGTGACTGCAAGACGACCGAGGCTGCAAAACGAGCCCAAATGATTACACCTCCACCTCCGTGTGTCACAGTTGGGATGAGATTGTGCTGAAATGTGTTTTATTTGTTGTTGTGAATTATCGGTAAAAATCTACTGTTGTCTCATCTGTCAAAATGACTTTGTTGCAGAAGTCGCAGTTCATTCAGACAAAACTTGATCGAAGTCAAGCTGCCATGTTGTTTTATAAAGAAGAGGCTTTCTGACATGTTGACATTGATATCCCTAAAAACACTTTGGTAACATCTATAGTTTTCAATATGCTTTATAAATAAAGTTGACTTGACTACAGTCCTCTCACAGACGTCAAACTAACAGTTTTTCACTAATTCTCATGTCAGGAAATCTAACCTTTGACCCTGAAACTACGACATGAAGAGACTGAGATGGGGCTCAATTTTCTTGCAGTTTCTCTAAGCACTGCACAGTCTGACCTTAGGGTGAATTTGCAAGAGTGGACACTCCTGGGAAGATTATACATAATTTCCACTCTCAAAACTCCTTCTTACTGAGTGATGGACTCCAAACTGACTTAATTGTTCCCGGTTGCTCATCTTCTCATTGCTGATGTATTTCCATCTTGGCGTTGTGTTAACACACACCTCTTTGCACCAGAGCAACAAACTCTTGCTTTTAGTCAAACTGATAACAGTCAATTAATTAAGTGCATTTGATCTGCAGCACCTGGCTGTAAGTTTCTCTCATAAATGCAGGAAATGTTGGACTTAGTTTTTCTTCCAGTTTGCTGTTGTGTGTATTTGTACACTTGTCAGATTTAAATAACTCTAGAATCTAACAAAGACCAGATCATTTTAAAATGCTGACACTCTTAAACAAACAGAGGTTGGACTTTCTTTTCCCCATGACTGAAAGAATCACACACACTGGTTTATCACTACAGTTAAAAAAGCAAATGTCATCAAAGTGTCCAGAATAAGCAGATGAATAACGCCCGAGATTCTCTTTTGCACCACTGAAGCTTAATCAATACAAAACTTTATTGTTTTATTCCCTTGACGTCAGACAGTTTATGCCCTCAAAAGATCAATGAGACTTTACCAAAGCTCAAAGCTGGCGAGGACATCCGGTTAGAGATGCCTTCTGATAGGGGCAATAAAAAGCTCATGTTTACAGAACCTCGCATGATTTTCTAGGAACGTGTTGGCGGAGCTCCTAATGCCTTTTCCAAAAAATAAAAAAAAAATGCTCATGGCTCAAATATTTGTTGTACAGACAATTGCAGCCACACATTTATGACCAGAGCATCTTCAAAAGTGGGAGGGGCTGTGTTGATGATGTCACAGAACTCATTAACAGTCAGAGGCTGGAAACATTTGGTTTATCACAGACTTGGACATTCTGAAATCAAATTTGAGCAAAAATATAATAATAATCTTGTTTGACAAACAATTTTCTAACAGATATTTGAGCACTTTCCTTACCCTGACAAGTATTTAAAAACAGAATGAGATAAAAGGCATGGAATCCCTTAAATAAACATGTGCCAGAGTTTTAGACAAGGATCACCTTTAAGTTAGAAATCACAGAGCTGTGTTAAAACCTTAAAATAAAGTGATGCAGGGCGTCATATTCAGGTGTTGGAGATGACTTTCAGCTACTAAACAAAAATTTTGATGAATATCTGTGAAATAGACAGAACTTTAGCCCAAATGTGATCAAGTAGCTGTGGCAGCCGTCTTTGAATGGACTGACTTCAAAAATTAATCAGGTACAAATGTACATCCAGTGATATATTTCTGAAAGTTTCATCAAAATCCATCCAGCAGTTCGTGAGATATTTTGCTAACAGACAAACTGACTTGACTCTAATAGTTAATGCCAACGTTTTAAGCATAGATGAAGAGCATATACAGCGTTTGGAATATATCTTATTGACGACTCTTTCCTACTACCACTAAAGTTCAGCTCAATGTAAAATCGACTGTATAGCTTTTTTCCCCCCTGTTTTATACGTTCGGGTGGCTGCGGAGAACATCTTTGACTGGTTCAGCTTCAAAACTTCATCAGTTGTAGATGCAACTCTGATGATCACTTTCTGAAGGCTTCATTAAAATCTGTCCAGTGGTTCACGAGATGTTTTGCTAACAGACAGGCAGCATTGACTCCACGTGTGACCTTGTTTGTCATCTCAGATGAAATCGGAATTATTTCTTAAATCATCTCTGACATCAGTCCTTCTCAGGTCATGCTGGTTGGGGGGGTCGGAGTGATGGAAGGCGCACCGGGCCACCAAGTGGCGGCGCAGAGTATAAGACCCGCTTCTGTTTCAAACCAAGTGGGGATCTTATATGAGGGGACCACGCGCGCGATGCTGTCCATTCTCACGCTGAAGCAGAGAAGATGCTGCAGCTGCAGCTCCTGCACATCTTCTGACTTTCATCGGAACCTCTCAGCGTGGACTTGGACACAGATGAGGAGTCTTTGCGCAACTTGGGAACAATTCTTTCTCTGCAGCCTCTGCGTGTTCAGAGCATGGAGGTCGTTCAGGACAACGTCTTCTTCTATCACCCGAGAGAGGCATGAACCGGCTCTGAGCATGTTTCTGAACCTGTAAGGACGCAGAGGAACTCTTTGGCACCTCCAGGTGACCCGCAGAGTCCCGCACCACCTTCACCGCGCGCGCACCGCAGCGATGGAGAGCGTTTTAAACGACGGGGACACGTGGGCGTTCAACGACTCGAGCCTCCTGAACGGAACCGCCGGCTGGAACCAGACGAACCCCCTCAAGCGGAACGAGGAGGTGGCGAAGGTGGAGGTGACGGTGCTCGCGTTGGTGCTGCTCCTGGCGCTGGCCGGGAACCTGTGCGTCCTGCTGGCCATCCACACCACCAAGCACAGCCAGTCCCGCATGTATTACTTCATGAAGCACCTGAGCATCGCCGATCTGGTCGTGGCGATCTTCCAAGTTCTCCCCCAACTTATCTGGGACATCACGTTCCGCTTCTACGGGCCGGACATCTTGTGCAGGTTGGTGAAGTACCTGCAGGTGGTGGGGATGTTCGCCTCCACCTACATGTTGGTTTTAATGTCCGTGGACAGGTGTTTGGCCATCTGTCAGCCTCTGCGCTCCCTGCACAGAGGGAAGGATCGCTTTTATGTGGTCTTCTCCTGGATTCTGAGCCTGCTCTTCAGCGTCCCGCAGATGTTCATCTTCTCCCTCAGAGAGGTGGGCTCGGCCGGGTCAGGGGTGTACGACTGCTGGGGAGAATTTGTGAAACCCTGGGGGGCCAAAGCGTACATCACCTGGATCAGCCTCACCATCTACATCATCCCCGTGGCCATTCTGAGCATCTGCTACGGCCTGATCAGCTTCAAAATATGGCAGAACTTTAAACTGAAAACCAGACGTGAGCAGTGCATCAGCCTGACGCCCAAAACGTGCAAAAGCAACACGCTGGCGCGCGTGAGCAGCGTGAAGCTCATCTCCAAGGCCAAGATAACCACGGTGAAGATGACCTTTGTCATTGTGGTGGCTTACATCATGTGTTGGACCCCCTTTTTTTCAGTCCAGATGTGGTCTGCGTGGGATCCAGCTGCACCCCGTGAGGGTAAGTTGCATTTAAATCATAGTATCAGGCGGGCGCATCAGTGCGTAAAAGGCTTGGAGTGTGCCACTTTACGCATTTGGAGTCACTGACACAGAAGGAAATATTTTCTTTTTTTTTTATTCTGTCACAGAAAAGACTCATTTTGTCACAATTAAAAATAAAGTTATCTGAAGTTGTGCGCAAATATCATCCCTCTTTTTGTTCCTTGAGAGATTTTGGGAATGTTGGACATTTTAGGTTCAGGTTAAACAACATTTTTCAAACAGTTCAACAATACAACAACAACCAAACTCTGTCAGGTTTTATTTTGTCCTCATCTTTAAAATCATTATATAAAACGTGATTTAAAAAAAAGGGTTGACAAAGCACAGAATCTGATAACTTTCTTCTGGCCCTCCACGCGCTGCCCGAATGACGGATAAACATTAATCAAATGAATGTGCGCAGCCGCGCCTCAGGCATCTCGGGGCCTGTGTGTGTGTGTGTGTGTGTGTGGGGGGGGGGGGGGGGGGGGTGACATTTTACCACAATAAGCCACCAGCAGCCACCTATATGGAGCCTCTGTATGTGCAGCTGCCACACCCTCTGTGCTTTAAACATCTGCTCGTTTTGCTGGATTCACTACAAATGTTTAGAAATAAGTCAAATTCACAAACATCACAAGTCAGAGTGGGGCTATGAATCACTTTGAAAGATGTAAAGGAAAAAAAAAAAAACATTTTGCTCCATAAAGACAAAAGATGAAAATACGTTTTGATCTCTTCAAAAAAAAAATGAAGCTGGAACTATAGAACCACGTGTTTAAAGCATTAAAGTCAGACGGGGTGTGTGTGCAGAACAAACACTTTTTTCATCTTAATCTCTATTTGTGTAAAAACAGATCTCACTGAGATTTACCTCAGTGCGTTGTTCACTCAGCGGTTTGCGCGCGCATGTCTGCCGCTCGGTGATGCGTTACGCGCAGAGACATGTTGCTGGATGAAGCAGTGACGGTCTGTGACGTCACACCTCACTGTGATTCTCAGTCCCACATCCCCGGGAAATGGGCATCAGATTCAACAAAACAAAAATTTCCAGAATGGACGAGAAGGTGTGTGTATGGGGGGGGGGCTGATTGAGGGTGACACCTGTCAGTGTTTGTGTTCAAGCTGGGGTCTCAGATTACATTTATTTAAAATAAATAACAAAAAAAATAAATGAAAGTGTACTCAGTTTGGAGATCCCAACATAAGCAGCTTTATGCAAATAATATAAAACTTTCTTATAGATGATAATCAACAACTGGGGCTTTGCTTTGTTCACATAAACAAGTTATCAGGGCTGTGTGCTTATTTTCTTGAGCGATGGTGTAAAAAGAGTTGTACAAAGAAAAATGTCCTCCAGATGTGAACACTAACTGCAGCTCAGCTGTATTACAACCAAACCAAACTGAAACAGGTAAACCACCTGCATGACTTTAACTTTCTCCAGATATATTTGAAACTGCTAGCCACGTTCCTATCAAAAACAAACAAACAAAAAACAAGCAAATAAATTGAGCAGCTATTAAAACTAGAGAAATTGCATTTTCTGCGAAAATGCAGTGTGAATGCTCATTGCAGAAGAACCTGAAATTAGCTATAAAACATGCTGAAATGTTGCTGAAATGGAAGAACAAGCCTAAATTAGCAGAAGAAAACACTTATTTGCTGTATTGGGTTTAAATCATCAGAAACAAGCACAAAATGAGGAAATTAGCTAAAAAAAAAAAGCTGAATTTAGCAAACAAAAAAAAAAGCTGGGGGAAAAAAGCAGAAAAAGCAGAAAGAAGCTTAAACTACCACAAGAAAGCAGAATGAGGTGAAATAAGCAAAAAAATGTGGAATTGGATGAAAACCCTAAAACTAGCATGAAACAGGTAAATAGTAGCAAAAATAGTAAAAGTAGCTGAAAAGTTAGAACAAGCTTAAAATTGCAGAAGAACACAGAAAAAACAGATTTACACAATTAGACTGAAAGAAGCCGAAATGAGCACAAAAAAGTGGAAATTATCAGAAAAAGGCTGAAATTAGCACACACACAGAAAAACAGCTGAACAGTAGCTAAAAAGAAGATGCTTAAAATTACCAGAAGGAAGTGGAGAAAGCACATTTTTGCTGAATTAGGCCGAAAAAAATGTGGAATTAGCTGAAAATCCTAAAACTAGCACAAAACTGCTAAATAGTAGCTGAAATAGCAGTAAAAGCTGAAACTTGCAGAAAGAAGCTGAAAGAAACATATAAACTTGAAATTAGCAGAAACAAGTTAGAAGAAGCATACGAATGTTGTGGATAGCAGAAAGATCCTGAAAGGAGCACAAAAGAGCTGAAAAATACTGAAAGTAGCTGAAAGTTTAAATTTGCACAAGGAAGCTGAAAAAAGCTGAACCAGAACAAAATGTGAAAGGAGCAGCAAGTGGTTGTGAACAGAGCTAAAGATTTGAAGGATGTAAAATTAGCTCATTTCATATGAGGAAAAAAAATGGCAGAAAAGACTAAATATTTCAAAAAGCTAAAGTTGCACCACTGATTTAATCAATGATAGTGAATAATTACACCTTTCAATGGAATTAAAGCATCAGAGGCTGAGAAAGAAACGTCAATGTTTAAAAATGACCGTATTACTTGGAATTTAATTTGCTCCATCAGTGTAGTCCGTTTCAAAGAACTCTTACACTCTCTTTCTGGGAATCTCTCTACAATCACTTCGTGCTTTCCTGACCGCCTGCAGCGTCATAATTACAGTACATTACTCTTCCAGTCTGTGCTCATTAAACAACGAAAATAAAACGAAACTAGTGTGACAGGCATACACTTTAATCAATTATCAATCCAATCAGTCTCATTGTTGCATGCAAGCAGATGTAAATTGTACAAATGTTGCTAATTCCTCTCTAATAAACAAGATTCATCAGCTTGTGATGATGTGACAGAGGCAGGAAACGTCACAGGGAGCAGGTGCACACGTTTCAGCACCAGGTTTTATCAGAACGATTTCTGCAAATGTCAGACGACGGAAAAATGCTCCCGACGAAGGTTTGTTAAAGGTGCGTCAGTGGCGTGCATGACTTTACTTTTATCAGCCAGACAGATTTCATTATGTGGTGGACAAAAACACAAGAAGGTCTAACCTTGTTCCACACAAAACACCTTGGAAATAAAATAAAAAAACAACAGTTAGAAGAATATATCTCCTTGCTGTGCCTGCTGCTCTTGGAAACTGACTCACGCTTTGTATATTGATTTGCATTAAGGGCTTGATGGACACAACGTGTTCAGTCCCCAAGTCTTTTATTTCTTAAAGGTCACTTCTTGTGCTACATCTTTTTTTTTTTTTTTTTTTTTTTTACAAGCCATGAGAAATATGAATAAAACCTCCATCAGTCAAAGTAAAAATCAGAACCGTTTTTGTTGTTGCTTGTTTACGATCAGAACACGTTGAATGAATTTCTGAGGAGTCTTTCAGCGTGGTCAGCTTAAGCTCTGACAGCGATGTACACGGGGGGGGGGGGGGTGTTAACCTGTCCTTTCATTCTCAGTGTGATCCATCATTCCTGTGTGAAAGACACCATGAGCCAATGCAGCAAGGCTTTTTCTGATGATGCCCCCCCCCCCCCCCCATTATTCAAATTAGGTCCAGGCTCTCTGATAATAAATTCCTGATAACTGCCAGGTGGGTTTTTTTTTTCACACAGTCTGACTTGAATTTACATTCCAGAGGTAAAAGCTCAAACGTGGCTGATAAAAGCCACAACACTGAAATAGGAGCAACTGAACTTCTCACCATCCCCTGGACCCACGTTTTGGACCCCATCCAATGACACTTCCCAATCATTCCCTGTCTAAGATCATTTTAAGCTGCAGTTCATATTAAAATCTCACAGACAAATACAAGCTGTAGGATTAACAGGAGCACAAAATGACCGGAGGGAACAAACAATCCAAAAAAAACTATATATATATATAACTGCTAAGAAGAGGTTAGATAGAGGATACAAATCAATTACATGATCCAAAAGTCATCTGCCAAATGTCAGGTGGACGGTGTAAATGTCATCCACCGTGTCACTTCAGGTCCACTGGTGTAACGTCTCACTGCAGCGCTGTACAAAAACATCCCCACCTCCCGGATTCTAACAATGGCAATATGTTTGCAAGATTTATATTGTTGTTGGCATTCAGCAGTAGCTTGTCTGTTGTCTGAACTGTCAGGAAACTAAGACGTAGAAAATGTTCTGCCTCCTATAACCGTGGCGTGAGAAAACGTTTAGGCACCGTTGAGTTAACGAGCTAACTTTTCAAGTAAGCAAATAATCTGGATTGATTCTACAGTGGAGGAAAGTATAAGCCTTCAAAACGTATTAGCAAAATATGATCAGAGGGCCAGAAGTGGCCTGTGGAAGATCTCTTTCTGGTCAACAAAATTGCCCAATAAAGACAAAACAAGGTAAATATAGGAGTTTTATGTATATTGAGGTAAATAACAGTAAACTTACCACCTCCATCTTACCTGCTTCCAGCAGAGGGTGCAGTCTATGTGTTGGACCCATAGTGTGTGTGTGTATATATATATATATATATATATATATATATATATATATATATATATTAATAGACCAAGTGTCCCTTCTTCTCTCATATAGGGAGAGAACCCCATAAACCATAAACCAGCAAGCCTTGGTTTATGGGAGGCGCCTTGTTTTATTTTTGGAACCAGAGTCTGTGCACTGGGGGGGCTTTAAGTCCTACCAACTCCCCGCACACAATCCTGTCACATGCCTTTTATTTTAAAGCGTGAAAAAATTAATCGCATCTGAACATGTTATAAGTATTAATACTTTAACATACAGCAGCAAGGTAATAGCTGCATCAACATCAACACCTGAAAGAAGTGGATTTTTTTCAAGCCTTTGTTAAGTGACGTTTGTGTTTCTGCGTAAACAATCACAAGATAAATGATTTTAAAAAGTTATGAAACGACTCAAAATGTTGTTTTCAACCTGAAACAAACCTCTAAATTTAGGTTTCTCTTACAAGCACCATGTCTGACATGTCAAGAAAATGCTGGTGCTTCAGTCAAGCAGCTAACTGTGTTTAAAAAAAAAAAATCGTCAGCAAAGCAGCCAGACAAAATAATATTTCACAAAGCAGTCAACTGTCTATGAGGTCAATACAAAAGCTACATGCTGTCATAAACAAATCCCAAACCTTTCTCTGGCTGTGCATTTTCATAGCTCATGTTTGGTTCTGTAGATGTGGGAAGCACATTGTGCAACCCTTCAATTGCTGTAAATAAGTCCAAATGTTGCCCCCCCCCACCCCCCTGTAAATTTACTAACTCTTCTAATGTAGTAATAACGTAGTAATAAGTTGACAATGTGCTCATTAGGTTGTTGGCACGGTAATATTTGCAAATCAGTATTTGCAAAGTAACTGATACATGTCTTTGATTTTACTTGAGGAGAGTGAAAACAATGAGCTGCTAACAAGAAAAAAAGAGTTTTTCTCATGTTTCCTTTATTTTATTCTCATCTCCAGTGATGGACACAGTTCTGCTAATTCGCTAACAGCTAATAGCAGCACTAATTTTTTGTTTAGCGGATTAGCGCTTTTGCTAACTTTGTTAGTTCGCAGAATTAGCTTCTGCTACATTATACCATACCATTTTATTTATAGAGCACTTAAAACAGCGACAAGGCCAACCGACGTGCTGTACAAACAGAAAACAGGCAACACACAAAGCAATATACAAAAATGGAATAAAATGAATATATAGACACAAAAACGTTGCGGATAATAAATATAACAACTAACCAGTGTGAATCACACAGGTTCAAACCCAGATCATCTGGTGTTGAAAGCTACTGAATAGTAGTAAGTTTTTAAGCGGGATTTGAAAACCGAGAGGGAAGGGGCCTGTCTGACAAGCAGAGGCAACTCGTTCCAAAGTCTTGGTCCTGCTACAGAAAAGGCCCTGTCACCTCTGCGCTTAAGACGAGTTCCTGGAACTGTGAGGAGCAACTGGTCCGCTGACCTCAGAGAACATGGTGGGACATACGGTTGTAGCAGATCAGAGAGATTGG